ATTAATTACGCCGGTAAAAAATATCATTGATATTGAAATTATCGAGGAAGGAATGTTAGACAGCAAACAATTCTAATTGGAAGTCTTTGTTTATTATTTTTTTAAGAGTGATCATGAGAAGTTATTTCCAAAACTCGTGCTTCGTGTTTCATCGGGGTATCCAAACACCTCGAAACAATAAAAGCACGAGGCCGTAGGCCTCGTGCTTTCATTTGTTTCTCGGTGTTTGGATACCCCGATGAAACACGAAGCAAGAGTTTTGGAAATAATACTTCAGATATGCGATGTATTTGACGGAATATTTCATACGTTAGTTTTGTCGTCGTATTTTCTTTTCGGTTATCCCTTTTTCTTGTGTCCACCAGAATTGTGAAAACAAAAAGCATAAAGTAGCAAACAACATAAGGGCGGTTACTAGACGATGCTCATAAAAAAACACAAAAGCCTTCTAGGAGGACATGTGGTTACTGGATAGTGTGTAACAACAATGGTGCAAAGAGGAGTTGCGGAGTTTTCCTTTGTATTTATATCTGAGTTCTCGACATATCTGTTCTCTGTACCATTGCGCGCAACACTGCAAAGCTGGACACGCTGACCCTTGTGCGCAATGTTTCTTAAAAAGTTGCGCCATTGTACGTATGGGCTCGTTCAGTTTAATTTTGCCAAATGCATTTGTTATGTCAGACCCTTTATCTATACCAGAAATCACGAATTCTCCACTTTTTTCTATGCATCTGGCCTCACAAAGTAGCAAAGCAGCAAAGCAGCTCCATTTAGGGATAATAGGGCACAGCATGTTAAATTATCTCCAGGCATGGTGCTGAATCTGCAGAGATGATTACACTATTGTTTTGGTGATCCTGATGCAAACTGGAATGTTAACACTCTTTGAACGGTCCAGAACTTTGCTAAAGAAAGGAAATAAAATTAAAAAGGCCACATGGTCGTAGGATGGTCATAATTGAAAAATTGTAAGGGAAATTCTATCTTTGGAGATGGTAATTTCAGCTATATTTGTACAAAGACGTGGGCTTCGACGTTCACGCCCGGGTTGTTCGAAAAGTGGATAACGCTATCTACCGGAAAAATCGCTATCCAGTAGATAGCGTGGTTTGTTTTGTTACACTTAGAGAGCAATTTATCCGGCGGAGAGCGTTATCAAGCCTTCGAACAACTGGGGCCAGAAATATAAAATGTCTGTTTGGTCACGAAGCTGTGAGATACTGAAATTGAGGCCTAGTCTTTTGACTGGTTTTTGTTTGTTTAACCTACATTTCTTCTTTCCAACGGTGTCTTTTCAGATGAAACTTGCCGGGATAACAAAGCATATGAACCCTACTGCAAATCGTACCGAACAAACGACTTTTGCAGCTTGTATCCTTACGGAATGAACAAGCACTGCTCCCTCACTTGTGGCTTTTGCAGTAAGTACGTAACGTTTTTAATGGAGGCGCGGTGGCCTCACGGTTAGTGCGCTCGTCTCCGGATCGAACTGTCCGGGTTTGAGCCCTGGCCGGGACATTGTATCGTGTTCTTGGGCAAGACACTTTACTCTCACAGTGCCTCTCTCCACCCAGGTGTATAAATGGGTATCGGCGAATGTAATGCTGGGGGTAACCCTGCGCATTCTCGTCAGCAAGCCAAAATTAGTCTAATGTTCGTGGGCTGCGCGACAACCATGAAACCGAAGTACAGGGAAGCCCGTTTAGAGTGGTACTAAAGAGATCTCAGAAAGTCTCCGTTTAAAGCGCGCCATTTGCTAGAAAACAAAACCACTGTCCGTGAAATAGAGGCCAGAAGGAATAGTTAAATCAAAACATAAAAAAAGCCGACAGCAAAATCAGGAGCTAGCTGCCCCGTTACCAGGCGCCGTTGCGTTTCGTTGGGAAAAAGCTGAACGCTGGACAAGGAGCGCAGTGTTCGATGCATGGTTAGACGGCGAAATCGACTGATTTGGTCATTAAAATGACAGTGAAAGGTTCGTTCTGATTGGTGAAGAACGTGACAGGAACTTTCGAAATCAATTTCAGGTTTTGTTGAGTTGCCTGTCCAGAAAAACCCTAGGATGACGTTAAGTTGTACACGGTTTAAAACAGTTTCAAGCAAGGCAAACTGTTGCCTAAGTTACTCAGGTGTATTAACTTTTCATATCTATAAACTACACGTGAAAGCCTCTGGAAATTTGGGATATTAGGGAGTGTAAGGCCCCTTCCACACGCATCCAGATATTTTTGAATTCGCAACTTTTTCTTTCCGGATACGGCTTCCGTCCACACGCATCCGGCGAATCCGGATATTTGTGAATCCGCTCTCCAGGGTGGAAAAAAATAAATCCGTAACGAGTCCGATAACGTAACGACGGTGATTTCGGATGTTTTCGAATCCGATGACGTAGCAAAATCGTGTCCAGTTTCTTACCGAACAATAAACCAATATGGCGGCACAACGTGTAGGCCTAGTTTCTCTCGAGTGAATCCGGATACCATCGGATGCGTGTGGACAGGCGAATTCGATTTGAATACGCTACGTGTGGACGGGGAAATTTTTGAATCCGGAAAGTAAAACNAGTGAATCCGGATACCATCGGATGCGTGTGGACAGGCGAATTCGATTTGAATACGCTACGTGTGGACGGGGAAATTTTTGAATCCGGAAAGTAAAACTTGCGGATTCAAAAATATCCGGATACGTGAGGGCGGGACCTAAAGCCCTAGTCAAACGGCCCATGACAGTCGATGATAGCTGACGATAGTCGGTGATAGTTGAAGCTCGCGCTTCCGTTTGACCACTAACTATCCCGCCCTATCATCGACTATCATCAACTATCATTCATTTTGAGCTTGTTCAAATTCTTCATGATAGTCGATGATAGTTTTTCTCGTTTGACCACGCGTATGATAGTTCGTGATAGTTTTTCGGTCAGCTGTTTTGGTAATCGCAGGCCCCATAGCGGTCAATATTTCCTCAATGTTTCACAGTTCATGCGCAACATTTCCTTGTAAGTGGCAGTGTCCTCCACTCGCAATTCTTTCACCAATTTCAACATCCCGCTTTCGTTTCTCCGTTTGATCCATTCCCTTGTCCGTCCTCTCTTCCACCAAGGCCCCACCAAAGCTCTTCAGATTCATCTTTCGTACATTCCTCCAACAAATCGATTACCACTAGACAAGCTGCCGCCCTCTTTCGTCGCGAAAAATTCCTACTTTTACAAGTTTGTCTCACGCTACGCCAATTTAGTGTCCACATTATATTTTTACGCGAAAATTAAGAGCCTGGAACTAGCTGCTTGCGTGACTTTGCTCGCGCGACTGCCGGCGAACTATCGTCAACTATCACGAACTTCTTTCGCCGTTTGACCATGTGAATGATAGTTAAGAAATAGAAAACATGTACCGTGTTTCTATCGAGTTATCGAAACACCAGTGGAAGTTTGAGAGAACGAGAAATGCTGTGGGAAAACGAGCCGTAGGCGAGTGTTTCCACAGCTTTTTCGAGTTCTCCCAAACTTTCACGAGTGTTTCTGTAACTCGATAGAAACACGGGGAACATGTTTTCTATTTCTTTTAGAAAACACAGCGACGAAAGAAGGGAAACATCTTAGTTACTTTGATCATCAAAATGTAAATTCTGAAAGTGAAGAATGATCATCGCATGCGCAGTAAATTTTCCAATTTATGCAATTGGGAAGAAGAAGCCTGAAAAAAATCAGGGCTTCAGCGGGATCATTCTTCACTTTCATCTACTACCGCAGTTCAAATATGAATTATTTCATATATGCTTCACATAATGTAAATTCTCTTTGCTCGCGCCATGATTACGTCAACAGCTCGTGCTAGTTCCGTGTTTCTATCGAGTTTTAGTATAAATCTACTAGCGTGCCATCGCGAATGCCGTCCTCTGATTGGCTACGCTACTCACGTTCTATTCTGTGATAGACAGTGAGTAACGTAGCAGCGTGCGCTAGGGGCCGCTTCTTTCTGTTTTCGAAGTGTCTGTGAAGTGGATTTAGATGAAAGTTTTGAACGACTAGTAGATTTATACTAAAACAATTAGATTATTCGCTCTCAATTTCTATACGTGTTAGTTGACTTGGACTGCGCCCTCGTCAGCTATCACGCGATAGAAATCTCGAGCTCATAATCTAATCTAATTCGAATTTTACACGGTTGTCCATAATCAGTTTGACAAAGGAAAACAAACTAAATGACTCAGAGTATCGCGACATTTGTAGGTGAAATATATAACTTCATTTTTAATCGACGTTGTCCTCGGCGTCGCCGTCGTAGCTACTTAAAGTCCCTATTAAGACTTTTTTTTAACCCCTCAGTCGAGAGACTGACATGATGCTATTTTCGGTTTCTATCACCTAGAATGCAAGGCCAAGATAGATATTGGATTTTTGGTGGACAGTTCGGGTAGCATCGAGAAAGCTGGTAAAGGAAACTACAAGAAGTGCCTGGATTTCATTAAAACTGCGGTGAATGGTTCTGTTATATCCGAGAACTTCACACACGTTGGATTGGTTTTGTTTTCTTCCAAGGTTTGTGCTATTATGAAAGTTCATTACGCAAGCATTATAAACTTCCTCTATAACCCATTTCACTTATGACGAAACTCTGATTCTAACACAAGGCGATTGTAACATGTTTAAGACTTGAAATGATTTCAGAGTAGAACATAGTAAATGCAGAGTTGCAATATCAATGAAAGGTCGCTAATGTTCCTATTACCCCCATATATCGAGTCATTTTTGCACTAAAAATTATATTAAGTTCAAACAGGGGTTATATGCTTGTGGTTCAAAACAATAGTGCGATAACTAGGTAGGAAACCACCAATGGTGATAGTGATACTTGTTAGTTTAATCGACAGAGCACTTTTCAATGGAGTGTCGTAACACCAAAACCAAAGTACACACTCTGGCCAAACACGTATTACATTGACTATCCAGTGAACCAATCAAAAGTCAAAGCTGATACATGTAGCCACTGCAAAAGTGTGCGCTAGAGTCACATTTGGTTTTCGTTTTACTTCTGATGGGTGATAAAGTGACGCGACTTTTTTTTTCAGCCAATCGCTTAGCGCGGTGATACAATACCAGAGCATATGCGAATTAACTGTCGACATTCAAGTGAACACTGCTCTATTTCACACACTGACAGACTTCTCTCTTCACAATCTACTTTTCAGCGCCAAACAATCTTTACATTAACACAGTATTATGCTGCAGAGCCAATGATGACAGCAATAGACAAAGCCCCCTACCTCAAGGGCGGAACCCTGACAGGAAAAGCGTTAAATTTCGTCAAGGTAGAGCTATTCGACAAAACAGGCCGTCCAGGCGTTCCCAAGGTTCTTATTGTCATGACAGATGGAAAATCAACTGACGACGTTATAAAACCCGCCAAGATGCTGAGTGATGCAAACATCACGGTGTTTGCTATCGGAATTGGAAGAAACTATGACATGCAGCAACTGCAGCAAATCGCTTCTAAACCGGAAATAAAGTACGCTCTCACGTCAGACTTCAATAGACTCAAGGATTTATACACCAGTATCAGGGATGATGCGTGCAGAGGTGAGTAATGATGATACTGAGTGGACTGCCGGCCTGGAGTCCAATTTTGGTTCGCAATCATGCAGATGACTGGTAAAATCTTTGACTTTGTTTCACTGGCTTGCATTATACAATTCCAAGTCAAATAGTTTCCAATATTAGTCTTAACTATAAATTGAAACAAAAAAGGTCAAACTACTCAACCCTTTTGGTGAATAAAGGGAAAACATTTGAGTTTGTTTTCAACATCCAATGAAAATGAGGGTTAGCATTCCGGCTTGATCTAATGCCGCTTACCTTTATCTTTCCTACCATACAAACGGCAACGAGACGACTCCCATTTATTCAATCAATCCGGTACTGAACTTAGTAAAGCCAGTCGCTGCTAGTTACAGGACAAGCGAAACTTCTGTGCATTTGCATCCAGTTTTCACTAGATTTCTGCAGAAATTCTCGCGCGCTCATTGGCTAATTTCCTTTGTCAATAAGCGGACAAAGACATGAATTTATACTTTAAGCGATCCGTCAACGAGCGAGAGCGAGTGCGGGAGTGAGTGCGAGAGTGGACAATTTGACAATTTGTTATTGTAAAAAACAAATTGACGTCAGCTTTTCATACGTCTGTCCTGTTATTGACAATTAACTTCGTCATAACATTGTCCAAGTAGTCGCTATCGCCTGGTGGATCCACAGCTACTATGATAATGTTATGACGAAGTTCATGATCAATAACAGGAGAGACGCATGAAAAGCTGACGTCAATTTGTTAATTTGTCATAACTGGCCATTGTAAGGGCTTTGGTTTTGGTTGTAGGCCGACACTTGGCCGAGAATCTCTCTCACCAGCGCTTTATTCCGTTTCTACTGACTAACGCTTTCCTCTTCTCAGTTTCTTTTCCATTTTTTTTCTTTTTTTTCAGTGAATTCAACCTTTTCTGATCAAGGTGTGCTACTCAACACTCCAGTTCACACTCCAGTACACACTCCAGTGCACACTCCAGTGCACACTCCAGCGCATGACAACGCAGCGTTTGCGCCACACGGCAGTCACACTATGGTACCACAGATAGCTGTCCTGAAGTCGAAGTCCCGAATAGAAGAACACCCACATAAACACACACGTGGCTGATCAAGGTTTATAAATTACCATGTTCTATGACGAGAATAAGTACTTCAGTTCTTAATTTCCAGTTGATGGTCAGTTCAGCATTGAACTGCAAAGGTCAAGACCAAGGAAACGTTGCTTGGATCTTCTAACAGTAATATTGTGATCTGATTTGTAAATGTAAGGTAGTTGGGATACGAAAAACAAAAGTATTAAATTGATTCTCATTTCAAGAGGAAGACACCCTATTTTTTCCAATCTTTTGAGTGGATACTCGGTTCATGTATTCTCGTTTGTGCAAGCTATAACAAAAATTCCCCTTTCCTTTGTTTCATGTCTCCCATTTCCCAACCTCTATCAAATTGCGCTTTCAATCACCTGCTCTGATCGACCCCAGGAGCGGCTGCATTTCGCAATGGAAAACAAGGATAACGTGCAGGGATGATGTAGTTCAGTCCTAAGATCAAAATTTTAATTTCTGCATACACATTGGCGTGCTTTTCTTTTGAGATACAAGTATGTTTTGAGAACATGCCATTACATCAAGAAAATACCCCAACGCTAACTCTCTTTTTACATGTCTGTCTGTCTGTCTGTCTGTCTGTCTGTCTTTGTCTGATAGTATATTTTGATGTCGTAACGGAAGGATATAACGTGCCTTCCTTTCGAGAGAGTAAGGTTGGCCCTTAAATAAGAGTCATAAACATAACAGCGTTCCACAATGATTTTTTATATTTTTGTCCAAAAAAAAAAATAATAAATCGAAACTAAATACAATTCTAAAACGAAGTGAAAGAGATTAGAAATGAATATCACTTCATTTTCTTCTTTTATTCGTTTTTTCTTCCAGTTCGAGAAAAAAAGATCGGCTCAAAAATCGCAAAGGCACGCAGTCAACTCATGTAACAAAAATAGAATTTCAACTCCTTGCTTATGAGCCACTAGGCATGGAAGTAGTTGAACCCCGCCCTGCGGAATAACTTTTTTACTGCATCACGGTACCACAAAAAAAAGATACCCAAAGGGTACATTTGTGGGATACGTGAATCCAGAGTGCAATGCAATCTTTGCAACTCATTTGCATTAACGGACACGAGCCAATGACAATAGTGTGGGATACCACAGGTATCCCACACAAAAAGCTTGAGAGCATCGGAAAATACAAGAACCACGCACAGATGGTTACCGCAACCAAACAATTGAGTACCACGGTGGGTTTGCTTAAAAATCTAAATAACCCTATTTTAAAATATCTGTGCTATTTAATAGCGCCTAAATTTGTTTCTATTTGAAACGATAAATATTTACCTACTAGATAGTTAATTCATACTTATCCGTTATTGAGTTTTATCCCTAAATATCCACCGTATAACACAAACAAAGTCAGAGTATTAAACTATATGGTATAATAAGGGGTTACTGGCGTTCGTACATCGAGGACTGAGAGGAGAGAAAAAAATCGACCGAACGTTTTAAGCTCGGGTCAAACAAATAGTTGAAGAGATAAAAATTAACATCTTCAGCACAGCATTGGAAATAGTATGCACGGGCCAATTCACCTGGCTATCGAACAAATACGATTTAAAACTGTGAATAAGGTTTCGAGTGTCCGCTCGTAAAGAAGAGCAAGTTGAGAGTAAGTTTATGTACACCGGTCTACAGCTAAAAAAGTTAAATTAAAAAGGACAAAGTAAAAAGGGCAAGTTGAGATGGTTAAAAAAAAAAACTATTCTGCCTGGTCGGTGGACAAGTAAATTCAAAACCCGTTCGTTTTGACGCCAACCTTTAGTCAGAGAGGGTCAGTTGACTGTAGAGCTTGTATGTGTTTTCATACTTTAAAGTGAAGTGGAATTAGTCTGACAGAACGCTTCAGTAACGCAAACTGGTGGACGCAAGTCAGAAAGGCTCTGACAGCAATTGAATATACAAATACGACTGGAAGACCAGGTCAAAAGTCGGATTGGGCTTTAGACCTCCATAGACTGGTCAGGCTCGCGCCCAGCTTTCCTCATATTATCTTCTTGTTTCATTTTGGGGTCGGCTGTTTGCGTGTGCCACACGAGAATCTGTGTTAAAACAAACAAGGGAATAAAACATTTAATCTAAGAAACTTGAGTTCCGGGATAAATTTAATGCATTAAAACACCTGAGGTGCACCGAGAGCCGTGTAAAAGCAGTGAAAATTACAAAGTTATTACGTTAGTGTTTAAAGAAACTGAAGCTTGTGTGGTCGTTTATATTAAAACTAAATATCTGTACAACTATATTTAGAAAATCAATAACAAAAATATTAAAATCAAGTATATATAAACCCTTCAAATCTAAAACTACAAGTGGATGGAGATAATGATCGTCTTAAAATTAAAGTCATTAAAAATGTCGAAAGATTTAGGATTCCACCTAAGGTCGCTGTATCGAGTCCTATTCACCAGGCCATTGTGTTTGTATGTCGCAGTATTCCAGAAGGTTGAACCTCTGTACGCTACGGAATCTTCCATGTAGCGAAAATTGAAGCGCGGAACTAACAAGGAGTCGCTTACCCGAGTTGCATAACATGAGACCCACCTCTGTATGATTTTATCACTTAGAATGTTTGGTAATCTATCATTATATGCCTCATGTATACAGATAAAAATAGCATATTTATAATGAAAAAGTGGGTGGACCATTGCGCTCGTTCTAGGACTTCTGCCGACGCCATGCCCTTAGGCAAGTTATAAATGAGTCTTGCAGCCCTGCAGTGAAGCCTTTCCAGGGACTGGAATATGCCAGAGTTGCAACTGACGGGCTGCGTCGGCGCCGGGGCAAGAGAAATACTAAATAGCTATTTGTCAACTTGAAGTTGGTAATAACTGCCGTAGCGACTTTGCAATGCTGAAGTTTTGAGCGTTAGCGCTTAGTCAGAACAAAGACAGACACCCTGCTACTGAGGTAATGCTATTTCAGCTTTCACAGTTGCTTGCACTGTAAGTTGTGGGATACGATAACAGAGTTAGATGGCCGACTGCCCACAGTATTTTTTTCTCCATCTTTTGCTACTGACTTTCACACAAAAAAAGTCTAGATTTGTAGCCTGGGAAAAAGCGACATCTTGCAAGCCGCGACGGAATCTGCGATCGTTGAGAGACAAGAGCAACCACTTAAAAGAAGTTTTGACAGCGTTTAAGAGAGTTGTGGTCTAATCCAGGACAAAACCAGTATCCAGAGTTGTTACACCACACCTTGACGTGGTCAAGATGAAACGCAACAGATTCCTTTTTTAAAGGAATAAATTCAGCCTCTGCTACGTCAGAGCAAACACTGATTTTGTTTAAACCTCAGTTCAGACATAAATCAACTCTAATTTAGGTGGAACTAACTGAATTGTCGAAATTTGCTTTCATACCTGTTTACAATTATCCGCCAGTGGTTCAAACTCATCTCTCTTGGCCAGTTTGCTGATAATGGAGGACTCCAGATAGCCTCTGTTAGCAAGCGGATCCATTTCTACTTCTGGATTATCGATGAACAGTTTGGCGTTTATAGCAAAGCCCGCCATGTCTACAGGCATGGGGCGTTGAGGTTTCCAGGCTGTGTAAAACTTAACCACAACGCCATTTTCGCAGATTGGCCCTTCCCACCTCAAGCCTCCCACTAGTCCGACGGGCCACACAGATATCCTCTTTGTGTAACGCATCTACATAACACCACAAAATGTCCGGTTAATAACAATAAATATTGGAGAGCTTAAGCAATGATGACGGCGACCCCGAGGACAACGCCTAGTAAAAATGAATTTGCATTTTACCTTCAAATTTCCAAATTGTTTAGATCTGTACAGTGCACCTATTGGTCTCAGAACTTGCTCAAGCTAAATAAGTAAAGCCAGCATTCAATTCCAAATGAAAATACGAAAAATTAGCCGCCGTCATTCGTATTCCCCCTTCACGTGGTTGTTTTACAGAGGACGCCAAAAAATATATATATATATACAAAGATTTATAATGCACGTGCGTAGCCATTGTTCTCGTTGCCGTTAACTAGACATAGCTTGTAGTCGACGAGAGATCTCGTTGTACACTGCTTAGTGTAAAACTGTTACAGCTGCAGCATGCAGCAAAACAAAACCATGCAGGGAATGGCGGAATGGGTCAGGCATTTAGATTGTGTAACAGAACAACTAAGACAATCAATAAAATAATACAACAGGCGACAAAAGGGAAAAGAAACTGATTGACTTCATCAGTGAATGTCAAAATTGGCACGTTGTTAAAATGAAGGACAGTGTCTATGTTGCAGGTTAAAACGAAATTACTTTGTCTCTTAACCCTAATTATTCATGGATCATGAATAATAAGGGTTGGTTAAAATCATTTCAACCTGAATTTCATTTTAACCTGCAACACCTACATAAATTTTAACACAAGGTTTGCGTACAAAATTAATATAATGATTAAGGTACATAGTAGATCATTTCCATTGCATATAGACAGGTATGACAATTTACATGTCGCCCAGCTCCAAAGAGGCCTACAAGTGAGCAACAATGTTGGATAGGATCTGTCTGGGATGACAGATTCCATTACATAAGTGAAAAGCACCCAAGGAGATGACTGTAGAAGGAAACCATCATAGGAATCTTCTCTTGGTGCATGTCTAATGACAATGTACATTTCAGCAACTGGAGACAGTCATAATTTTACTAAGTAGCTTACCTGTTCAAATATTCTCACATCATAGGTGTTATCATCATCTCCAAAATAAACAACACCTTTCATGTCTCTTCTAAAATGTTCCCTGATCCATTTAAGGCCTAAATTTCTCTGATCAGCTCCTCTCGATTTTAGCCATCTAGGTTCACCTTCTTTAGTTATAAGTTTTTTCTGGGTTTTAACTGCAAGATGTGTGTAACTAATGCTACAGTTTTCCAAGAAACGGGTGACAAGACCAGTTTTCTCCTCAGAGTCTTCAACTATTATCCAATGGAGTCTTGGAACATGTAAAAGCGTTTGCGAAAGTCTTGTCAAGTCTGCTTTCTGTGTGTGTCTTTTGTAAGTGGGAGTAATAACATAAACTGTCGGCATTTCAGTAAAGCCTTCCTTGTAAGAACTGTTAAATTTAGTAATTCCTAGAATCTTTAGTTTCTTGTTGATTTCTTCTTCCTTCTGCTGCATCATAAGTTCTCTCTTTATCAGTCTTTGGTGGATGAGGTTAATTTTTTCTATCACATCACTGGAACTGTCCAAGTCTGTAAGACAAGAGGAAACATCTCTCACATTAAGAAATAAAAAAATTAAAAAAATAAAAAAATAAAAAAATAAAAAAATAAATAAATAAATAAATAAATAATGATGATCACATTATTGCAATTGAATTTTTCTATGAAATGTGCACCTTGGACCAAAAATAGATTTATCAAACAGTATTAAAAATGTACATGTATAGATGAGCTGGAGATCTGATTATATTATTAGCACAATTATATGAAAACTGAGACTACATATCGACTTGGTCAGTGCTTAAATGACATATTATTACATATCATTCCTAATATGAATACATAGAGTGATATACAGATAGCAAAACAGTGAAACTAACACTTGGTGAAACTGCTTTACAATGGCCCGAAAATGCCACAAAAACAAAGTAGCACACAGAAAAGTCACTCTAATTGAATTTGTTTTCCATATATTTTCAAACTTTTTGAAATGGTATGAACTCTTATATTAGTGATGTGTTATGAAACTGAGTGTAATATAATATTAGGAGTGTTCATGGCTACCCAGGAGCCTGGGAGACCTGTAAATGAACTTGATATTTTGAGTAACTTAAATAAAAAGTTCCTGGATCAACTAATAGGACTCCAGATAAATGTGAAATGAAATCCTTGGGAACTAAGTTACTCTCTCTCATTTCAAATTTGTAATTTTAAAGATTGTCTATAATTGCATCATTTTTCCAGTTTCCCTCCCATCTCACAATGCCGTGTTTTCTCCTGGGTTCCTGTTTTTTCTTCTAAACACAGTTGATCAACCTCTCTGGAATGGCCACCTTGGGCAGAATAAACTGGCCACTGTCAAGAGCTGGCCGTTGTAAGGAGGTTTCAATTACTGTAGGGAATGAGGTATAGATTAGCATAAGGCTGATCAATTAGAAACAATACATCCTATTCATTGGAGAGGTGGCCACTTGACCACAGAGAAGTGGAAGTTAGTGGAAGTTTAAAAAGCAAATTCAAGGGAAAGAGAGGGAGAGATAACTGGGCTTATTATAATATTGTTATTATTAATAATTAATTTTTTGTTTGTTTAAAAAAAAAAAGGCTTGGTGGTTTTTTTTCAGAGGAGGAAAATATACAACAAAATACAACCACTTTCAGCCCACACTTTGCCAGCAAGTTAATAAATTGCCCCAGTGAAGCAACAATAGCAAATTGTCTCAACTATATGACTACAATACTTGTATTGGCTCCATCAACTAGTGACTAATGTGATGCTTCGCTGATTTCATTGTTCAGTGAAAACAAAAGATTTTGTGTGTGTGTGTGCAACAAAAGATCTCCAAAGGATACTGCAGGAAAACAGAGTTTTTTGCATACATTATTTGTAAAAGACAAAGAGCAAACCAGGGGAAAAAAATACAGGGCAATGTTTTTCTATTTAATTGATAACCACATGCAAAAATTCAGGCACTTTTGAGGAAAAAAAATCACGCAAATCTTGCACTTATCATGGTTTTTGACCAACAAATCCAATTATTGTTGGAAGCAAAATAAAATAGTTAGGTTAGTTTGGAAGCAAGGAAATAGTGCAGCCAACAGAAGCAAGAGAATATTTCATGTCAAACTCTGTTAACATGAGATCATTAGATGAACATTAAAAGGCCACTGAGAAGACCATCATATTTTGCCACCCTCTTTTCAACTGCATGCATGTAGTAATGAATATTTCAAGAGAAATAAGCTTACATGGGTTTTCCTTAGCATTTTGAGCCAGAGAGGCCGTTTTTCCATATGAGAAATTCTCTCTCAAAGGAATGGTTTGCTCGTCCGAGTCACGTCGGGGGTTAAATTTTCGTGTCATCATTTGCATTGCAACCTCTTTCAAACTGTGTATTATTATTATTCCAAGGTACACTGTACATGTTGTGGGTTTTGGTTAGCAATTTCAGCCAGATCTAGAGAGGCCACCAACTTGCGGAAATAATCGCCGACTATCGCGCTGAAGTGCTCAAGAGCTCCGTTATTCCATACGCTATTCTCTAAGAAGTAGCACTTGGAATGCTTAGTTTGTATGAGTCACACCGGGGGTTAAATTTTCATTTGCGCTACGCTATTTTAATTCAATAAGGATATGATTGAAGATCTACATAAACTAAAAATTACGCGGGATCAATCGCCCAAAAATAAGCCCGATTCATTAAGACGTTTACAAAGTACATATGCCAGCCATGGCCAATAACGACTCTCGCTTTAAAAATGAACATCATCATGCAACTCGAACGCAAGGGGTACTCTCCAAGTGGTCCTATATAAGTACTTACTTACGTACCTTTGCAACGCTGATTTAACATCCACATCAATCCAAGAAAAGCGAGGAGAAAAGAAAGCAACACGAACTTTTTAGGGCTAAATTTTGTCGTTAGAAACATGCTTTAACACGAACACGACCACAAATCATAACATAGAAGTAATAAATATTGAATCAATCAGTCCTCCGCCATTTTGACTTTAGCGTGCCTAAGCCACCAGGCCATCTTCACAATCGAGAAAAGCTGGAAACTAGTCATTCCCAAGTCCTGCTCAGTCTTCCGCCATTTTACCTCGAATCTTTACGAGTTTTCTATCCTTGAGGGAACTTTTTCCTCTCTGTAAAACATGGTTTGGCCTTTGATACTGGGCGCAGCTCGAGCGTATGCCCCTTACATCGTCCTCCCGTTTGCAGTGGCCGTGGGGACCGTAGGTTATTTCATCGAGACTCGATTTAGGAAGAATGATAAATGGGCACAAGAGAAACCAAGCACTCTTGAGGAAAGAACTTTGAGGCAGATTGATACTCTGGAAGACCCAACGAAGGTGCAGAGTTTAAAGTACAAGGAAGGAATGCCGCAGACTATCTTTGAGAGAAATCAAGGCTATAAAACTGGTTTTACAGGACGATCTATGGAACTTGGAGATACGTCTGCAGATTCGAGATCAAACACACAATCTTGATGACTGGATAGCTATTCGATGTCAATATTGAAACTTTTTATACCCTTGGAAAAGTGGTCGTTCTCGAATTTAAAGAAAAAGAACTATTTCTGTGAGATGACTGATAGAAATATTGCAAAAAGATGTTTTGCAGTTTGGCAAAAGTTCGTGTGAAAAAGTACTGACAGTACTTGCAATTGTAAGCATATCATATCATGCTTTAGGACTTTTCCCATCATCCTCTGATTTGTCTCTCGCCATGTGAGAAGCCATGTTGGCCTGTGAATAAAGTCTTGTTAGAATCTAAGGAGCATATCAACTTATTACACAATGTTACAATTTGTGGAATGACTCTCTGTTTTAATTGGAAGAAACTGACGAGTTACTTTAGCATTAGGTTACTTTATTGGTGGTTGTGAGAAACTGTTAACCCCAGCATAGTGACAGTGAACTTAATAAGTGAGAGTATATGTGTGTAACACAGATTAATATCGGACAATTTAAACATGACATTTAATGGTTTCACGAAGTACAGCTGCAGTGTATGGTTTTAATATGTTTTGAATACCATGCAAAGGAATAGAGAATTGTAGGAAGGTAACAACTGGAACGACATATTTCCCACAAATGATTCATACATGATGGTGAACTAATTATTGTAAGATTATGAGAGGAACCTTGGCTTTGGTGTGTTTGTTTCCTAGCTTTCGTATTCAAATTACATTTTGCCAGAAAATATCCATACTTTCCCAACAGAAGGGATTGAAATTTCCAGAGGGCTGGGTGGTCTTACAAAAAATCCCTGGGAAGGTATGGATATTTTCTGGAACCACACAAATAGTGATAGCTGCAAAAATACCATGTGCCCCCCTGAAAGTGCCTGCATGAAGTAGACTGCCCTATGTGTAATTTTAATACTTTCAAGTTGTCTCATCAATGAATTTACTCATGATGTGGATGGTGAACCAGCTCTTTTCAAACAATTTCTGAGACCATGGGCATTGGGTAAAATATATGACCCCATTTGTGAGGCCCAGCAGGTCATATTGACAGGATTATAATGTATCAATCTCCCAGGTGCCTTAATATTACTTTTCAAGGCCCTTTGCAGGACGTGTTAATAAGTGATAGGAACACAGGTGGAGATTACAATCTTAAAGCCACTATTTTCTCAAGGGGGTAGGCAAGACTAAAGGGGCACATTAGAGAGAGTAGAAGAATAGGAATATCGTGGTTGGCATGTTCAAATGTTCTAATATGGCTTTTAGGAAATGCATCTGCCTGGACCAAGTAGTTCAAAGATCAGCTGCATAATTCACCGATGAGCTGCAAAGGAAGTCTCTGAACAACAGTGCCCTGGACATTTCAATGAATGGTCATTGTTCTCATTTCATTTCATTCATTGAATACACGGACATTGCCAAAAAGGATGGATGAGGGAGAAGCTGAAACAAAATTCAGTGTAATATTTTTGTACTGCCATTTTCTTGGTCTAAAATTTATGCCTTAGGGAAAAGAGGACTTAAAATTGCTCTTGTTTCTTCTTTTTGCGAATGTCTTTTAATGTAAAATTCCTCAGCTAAATGAGGAATTGTTTGCTTTTAGGAGAAGTATCTAATTTAAACATCTTTTTTTTCTACATTATACATAGCCTGCATGCTGCAATATATTAGACATAATTATTTTAAAAATCGATAACCTAGATGGGAAATGCATGTAAATTGTAGGATGGAGTTCATAATGAGAAAATGAGATTTAAAACTTTGAAAAAACGTCTTGCCAATTTGATAGCTTGGTACCCTATCCAGTTTAACGTCTACATACAAATTTCATGGAACCAAACAGTTTAACTGTGTGGCAAGCAAAGCATTGCTAGTGTTCAAAATCAATTCATTTATCTACACACCATGGATGAAGTTTCTGGGAACCTTTCTACAAAGTAGTGTACAATAAATAATGCCACACTTTCATGTGTGCATCTTTTTTTTTGTTTTGTTAGTATTTTTTTTAAGCTTGTTTTGATCCGCTGTTGTACTCATTCCTTGGGCATGCCTCTAAGAAGCTGATTGATGTCTTCATTTGATTAATATTGACTATTATCTATGACTTGTAGCTGCAAGAAGAATATTGAAACAATAAGAAAATTATTACAATAATAAGTTATTAACTATTTGCTACTGTCATGATAATTTATATATTAAATAACTTGGGATTTTAATAACCTTGGAAATAATACTTGGAAATCAATCACACAATTTATATATTAGTGATTCGTGATTCAATGTTTGCGTTGTTATACATGTGTAATCCTGTACATATACATACATTAGGTGATGTGCACAACTTAACTCAACCATTTTGATCACTACAACCAGTTGTGTTAATTTTTGTCTTCCAAAATTCCCTTCAAGAATGTTCAAACCTACAATATTATCAGACTAACAGTTTTATCATGATTACTATTAAAAAATTCATATTAATTGTAATTATTGTTATTGAAATATTAATTTTTGAAACTTGTTTGTTTGTTTGTTTGTTTGTTTTTTTCAGGCCAGTTACATGTATTGTTTTTTTTCTTTTTTGTACCTGTATGTATTTGTATGTACTCTGCTGAGCAAAGTTGACTGACAAACAATAATTAGATTACACCATTATACTGTCTACTGACCTTTCCCAGTACTTGTGGTTTAAATTGCTGAAGTCATCCAGTTTAGCAATCTTTTTCAGATACTTTGTTAATTTTAACAGCTCTTTATCTTTTTGTCTATTTTTGTGGGCTTCTCGAAAAGGTCTAATCTTAAGGCAAAATGAGATAAAAAAAAATTATGATCTGTCAAACAGTTTGCAATAAGTTTCTTTTTTAAGCAATAATGATAACACTGATTCTGCTTAGTTTCATAAAAATTCATGCAAAAATTCTTGGGCTAGAGTGGACCAAAATGACAGAGCCTATCCTGGTTTCTGAAGCACAAAGTAACTTACAAGTCATGTACATAGTAAGAATATTGCCACCCCCCCAAAAAAGAAAATTGCTACCCTGCCCTGGATGGCATGCCAGCCGGTTACCATCCCAAGTTAACCCTTCTCCGACATTTGGTTGGGTTAACATTACAGTGCTGCACAGTATACTTCAGGGATACTAAGGAGCACTGTGAGAGATATTTGTGTTGCCCAAGAGCAAACACAATGACCTTGGCCAAGGATCAAACTCAGAGCACTCAATCCAGGGAGACCAATTGACAACATTTAGCCTCCCTGCACTCAAAATGGTGCATATACATGTAGTATTACAGTATGCATTTTGCAAGCAAAACTGGAAATGTCTTGGAATTGACTTGCAGCAACATTACTTTGAGAAATAAATTAAAAATTATCATACATAGCATCACTTATCAACATTTCACAGTAAAGGTCTCTTAGAATTATTATAGAAAGGGATTAGTCAGGCATACATGTTTACCTTCAGACCATTTTGGGGATTCATAAGAAAATTTCTTCTGAGATCGTCAAACATGATGGTGTTTTTGCTGCTGTATTCCTCAAACTTTCCCCATATGACACCTAATGGTTTGGTCTGCAATAATATAATATACCGTGCTGTTAGGAGTCTTGATCTATAGCAAGATTGGTACATATAAAAATACATCACACTGTACATTTGCAGAGCTTTATCATACTGTCATGTAATATGAATGAAGTGGTCATAGTCATAATCATAATCATATATTAATTTATTGATAGAAAACTGACAGGTATAATGGTCAGTGATCATTTCAAATTTAATTAACTGACATTAATTAGCACAACAGTAGATATACCTCAATAAGGCCATATTTTGATGACAAGACAGTAATCATAGCTCCACTGTCTAGTAGAAAGCATATCTTGTAATTTGGATTATTTAGTATGCCAAGCTCCTACAAAAGAAAAATGAGTATTTGATTATAGCAACATCATTACACTACAGAGCTGGATTACACATCTCATGCTAAGTATGATCAACATACAGTATACAGTGCCATACCTGCAAGATTTATATATGAAATCCCAACTGGAGGTAAATACTTGACGGGTGTAACATTTAAGATATTTAACTTATATACAAGGTTTTGGTTGTACTTAGATTCTAAACTTCTAACGACATTGTGTGCAAATGCAGTTGTGTAAGAAAACAAGAAAAATGTACTTTTCATGTACATTAAGTTGTAATAATATTGTCATAAATATGATACAACTTAGGATACATTTTTATTCAAATATCAGGATATCTTTCCGTTTAATTTCGTTACCAACTTTGACCAATTGCTCAAAGCTTCTGAACCCAGGTACAGTCCACAGATGGATGCCTACTTCTAACAGTTTTGTTCTACTGACAGTATTACTGATACAGTTGTATGGAATAATGTTCATACTTTCATTTTAGCTTCAATCCACTTCATACTGGTGGCAGCTGCATAAAAGATAATAAACATATTAATAAGAATAAGTGACATGTTACACATTTCAAATGCTTGATTTATGTTACCTCATCATTATTTAGTCTATCATTGCATTACTATCAAACAAAATTACTGAATAACACAGGAGAGGCCAAATATCCAGTACACTGTCAGTAATAGTATATATATCAAGACAATAAAATTGTGATTTAAATCAATTGATGCAATTTGTACTTTTAATTTTAAGCTGACATTTTCTAAAAGCTTAAATAACACACTGAGACTCACACCATATAGCAATGTCATAATGCTCATAGGAGGCTGTCAGAAAGTCATGGAGATATGGCCTCATAAGCTCAAAACCAGTTTCGGCAACTGACCTGTGATCTGAAAATACATTAGATTCCATATCAAAATAATATTTATTAGTTTTTGTGTCATCCGTTTGTTGGTTCATTAATTCATATTCATTTTTCATTCATTTAATTATGTTAGTATTACATATAAAAAAAGTACACACCGAATATTGTGTAATCCACATCAAGGACAAGTAGTTTCTTTCCAGCTCTCGGGGGATTGCGAACTTCTAACTTATAGTCTGATATCCTTTTGTTAATTTTGGCAAGATTCTCATCCCTATCAAAACATAGTAGAACTTAACATCGTAAGAAAATGATAACCATAAGGACAGAAAAAATGACATTACCAGTAAAAATTAATAAATCACATGTCAAATGTTACATTGATTTAATAATTAAATAATTATTATATAATTATTACACAGTTGAACCTTTAAACAACAGTTGACAAAATTTGATTAAAAAACATTTTGGTTCTACCTCTGGGATTGGCATGGTTGATAATTAATTACACCAGTAGCCTTTTGGCCAATAATGGTTGTTGTATGTACCATACACAACAACCAAACAAATCAAAACCAGAAGTTTATTAATAATACATACCTGTTTTCTATTTCAATCTCATCTTCCTCTATATCAAAGTCATTTATCACTTGATTATTTAAAATTTCTTCAGAAGGAGAAATAACTTCAGCCTAAAAATGAAGTTGACGTTCACCAAAAAATAATATTAATAATATTAACTAAAGACTGCACATATTCTAAAACACAATATTATAATACTTGTTAAAACAATGGTAAACAATAGCAAGCCATCAACTGTGTATTTTCTCCTAATTTTACCATTTATTGCAAGAAACTGATTGTATTTTTCTCCATGGTTGTAAACATGAGCCAAACAAATGAAAAAAAAAACAAAAACAAAAACAAGATTCAGTTATGCCAACAACGCTGTTATATTTTAACCAACCATCCTCAGCTGGCCTATTGTTACCACTTCCCTACCCCCCTCCCCCCCTCCCCCTCAATAGAATGGTAGGCCACCAAAAGATGGCAATGTTACTACTCAAATTTAACCTCACAGTGACTAGAAAGGGTCTTTGCTAGAGTAAAATGAATTCATTTTTAAAATACCCAGTGATAAAAACAAAAAAACGCCACTATGATCCCAACTAGAGCTTGTTTCAACCCAGACTGCTCAATACAGAGCCCAACATGCTAAGCATTAAATCAGTTATCACCTTATCTCCCACTAAATAACAGCTTTGTTGAGAACAACTACGGTACAATCAACATTCTGCCACCAAGAAAATTTTATATTTATTTCCACATGTAGCTAAACCTTACTAAGTTCTCTTCTCGTGTTCCCATCATCATAATCTTTGTATTTGGCTTCAAATTCAAGGTACTAAGGCGTACTTCATCATCTGGACTTTTACCTTTAAAATTAAGCGAAATTTAAAACACAATTTAAAATAACCAATCATAAGCAACTTAGTAATAACAGCAGTTACAACTGAATTCCAGTTACTGAGATTCATGCATGGTCCGCAGTGATCATGACTGCAACTGCAGCAAAATTACCACATTGTACCTTTATATTTCAAGCCTAAAAGTTTCTGTCTCTCGGGTAGAACGCCAGTTTTGTCTTTTATGAGTTCTTTTAGAAACTTCACAGTGTCGGAAGGGGATAAATTCTCTATAGGATATTCTTTTCCACTCCATTTTATAGTGACACAAAGTTCTTCCGCAGTGTCACTGTTGGCCGCCGCCATGTCGTTTGTCGCTCGCCAAGGATAGGCCGGGGGAGATTGGGTGCTATAGTCGCGTTTCAAGTAAATTTTCACGCGCGCGAAGCGGAAGCCGTTCACGGAATAACTAGCGCATGCATGAAGAACACCCCGAAAAATCATCTATACAGGGTTGTAAAGCCTTTACAAATGAAAACCCAGCCGCGAGGAGAGACATAGAAGGTACCTGGTATTGCTTGGTACCAAGGGATGTAGCTTACGAGCCGTCATGCATGGTTTTCAGGAACATTTAGCTGTCATTATTCGGCTCGCCGGCTTCGTGTCGGCCATGACAGGTTCAACGAGGACGCGTACATGTACTTCGTTACACAGTTCTTCTTGGTTGTAGGGAAGTGTTTTTACCGCTTTATTTTTCCGTTTGAAGACACGAACCATGATTTTCAAGTATCGAGGAACGACGATTCGTTTGTTCAGTAGAAAACTATTTATTTTGGTTACGTTGGGAATTGGTGCAATCCTTGCGGTGTTTACCCTACGTGAGATGATTACATTCGATGCTTCTTACACTCGCGACTCCACGCCTAATAGTAATGGTTTTCATTCAGATCAACCACAAAATAATCCTCATCTTCAAGGAACGGTAGCAAACTCCAACGAAGACAATACAAAAACTATGGCGAAGAAAGAAAATACAAACAACAATATTCCTCAAGAGAGTTTACACGAAATTATCCGGCGGCCGACGATAACGATTTCTCAAAACAAAACCGTTTCGCCAGAAATACAGAAACTAAGAGATATTGTGAAAGCTGTGAACAAGGCAGAGTACATCAGAAATGGAGACAAATTCGGCACGACTTTGTCACAGAAATCTATTGTTATTATAGTGCAAGTTCACGACAGACGCGATTATTTTTCCTATTTATTGAAGTCGTTGAGCCGTGCTAAAGGGATAGAGGACGCATTGCTCGTCATCAGCCACGACTACTATTCGGAGGAAATTAACCGACACGTGGAATCAATCGACTTTTGTAAGGTAAAGTGGCACTTCAATTTGTGACTTCTCAGCCACCTTTTTAATACCACAACTGTATCGAACCAGCTGGTAGTACGCACTTGTCGAGCGAATGTTCGACGTGTTAAAGTGCATTGATAATTCATTTTGATATTTTGTAGCCAATAAGTTCTTGCCGATGTTGAAAGAAATAATAACTCAGCTTAGTATTTCCTAAATTACTTAATTTGTTTTGACCAATAACACAGGTCAAACAGTTGACATGCAATTTCCTCCTGTGAAACGAATGACCATTGTCGAACTTGTTGAATAGAAAATTAGGTCTTTCAATTTAAATATCTTTTGTTCAAAGGGAAAAAATATTATTTACTCTTGTCGTTGACTTAAGCTTTCATTTTAAGGACTTTATTCGTACATATTTTCTTGGTAAAGTGATTTTAGTATAAAGGGAACTCTTGCCTTAGTAAACTGCCGTAAAGAAATGAAGTATATCACTTTGAGAAACGTGGTGTAAATTGGTCTGATTATTTATGAATAACTCGACAATGTGTTAATCATTGTTTGTAATAACAAAATCAGCTGGAAACTTTCTCAGAAGAGCAACATTATGCATACGTTCAAAAAAAAAAAGAAAAGAAAAGAAAAGAAGAAGAAAAAAAAAAACGACCACTAAAAGAAATTATTGTAGACAGCCTGCTTTGTTTTTTGGCGAGTATTTTCCACATCTTTATAACTCTCTGTTTTGAACAAATTTTTCATGGTTGCAAATGAGTTAATGGATTCTGAAACCCTTGTATTAAGTAGCTACACTGCACACAACCATGCTTGACACAAGGCAATCCAACGACTAATGACTGTAGTGGTTCATGAGGTTGTGCGAGGTGCTGACTTGGTCTCCTGATTAGTGTGATGGAACCAAGATCAAAAGGTCTTTTTTGAAGCCTCGTGCCTGTGCCCAGAGGCCTTATGCTGTGTTCTTGAACAAGTCACCTACATGTACATGCACTTTCATGGTTCTTCCTTCCACCTATAGTACATCTATGTACTGTTTTGGTCATTGCCTTGGGAATTGCTGCAGTTGAATGTATAGAAAACCTATATATTTGAACTGTGAGAGAAAGATCTAGAGAGGGGAGGTATCACTACAGTTGTGTGAGCTATGTAAGCAACTTATCCAGTTGCAAAAATAGTAAAGCTTAGAAATAGTTAAGGCTTGTATGGGATTAAAACCCAGTTCTCTATGAAACTGAGGTACATATACCAAAACAACTGGGTACAGGTCATGTTGTCATTGTGAAATACTTGGTGAAGATACATGTACATTTATGCAAGTGAATTCTGTAAATGAAATATTGCATGTTTGAATCGCAGGGGAACGATTTCAAGACATAGTCTGGTATCACAAAGGTCATGGGTGTGAATTCCATTCAGACCTGATTTTTTCCTTTTTTGCAAGCTCTGTTCCCAACTGCTAACTTGCTCATGTAGCTGTGATGCTATTTCGCGTCTTTATACCGGGAGTTGTTCTGACTTCCAATCTGACAAAGTTGTCAAAGATAGCTTATAAATAATTGCTTGTCATATACAATTATTGTGAGAAGGAGCATTTTATACCCTTAATCCTTTGATGCTATTAAAACCAAAATGTAACCCCAGCATTATATTTGATACACTCATACAGAGTAGCTGATGTTCCTGACCAGCTTCCATATGGTCTATACATGGAGAAGGACATGAATGTTTCAGTTATACAACTTTAATTGGATGCTTTTCAGTTAATTCCCAAGCAATTTCTGATTTCTGTCTGGTTACACCAAAACTCAGCCACTGTCCTTCAACATCAAAATCTGATCTTGAACAGAGTAGATCTTTGTATACAAATATTGATCAATACTTGTATTAACACCAAGTGTGTTTACTGGACAGGTTATTCAGATATTCTTTCCATTTGCTGATCAGCTCTACCCAGATCAGTTTCCTGGAACTGATCCTAATGACTGTCCAAGGGATATCAGCCGAGAAAAGTGAGTACATGCATACTGTGAGTATACATATACTATAGTAGATAATTAATTTTGTCCCTCATACATGTTTTAGTTCCTGAACAAAGATCCTTTTTGCTACATTCAAAGTCTTTTCAAAGGCATGATTGTCACTATTACAAGTGTACATTTATCGTACAAAATTGTAGAACAAGATGGTTGATTGAGACAATTGCATGTTTGCCTCTTCCAGGCATTCAGTTAGGTGGGGTGAAACACGAAATACAGCACACGATTTCGTGCACTGTATTTCACGTTTCGCCCCAACTAACTGAAGGCCTGGGAGAGGCTAATTGCATGTATGTTGTATGGCCAAGTAAAAATGTTTGTGTTGTATGGCCAAGTAAAAACATTTTTTGGAGTTAGAAATTGAGCTCTACACAGTATTTTGATTAATACATGTAATTGTTTTAAGGTATCAGCCAACCCAAAATTGACCGTTTTGCATAATTTTGGATTTTTATATGATCCAATAAATCTTAGGAATAGTTTTCGTTTTAAAAAAAATCCACAAAAAAATGTTATTCGTACGGGAAGTTATTAAGCGAAAACAATTTTGCCATCTTAATTATTCTAATAGCCGCTGACAACTCTTGTCATGTTAAAATAAGGAGAGGTTATGTGACAGCTAAGTACATGTGTGTTTGTGTTTCACAAAACACATGCGATTTGCTATCTTGGAAGCTCTCAAAGTTGTCGTCTTGTGAAATCTGTGAATGTCTTCGAAAAAGAAAACAAGAACATGTCCTTTTTCTTCGTCAAAGCCAAGACCAAAGAAAGGGAAGAAAGCATTTAGCTGTGAATCGGCAGCAGACCTCGCTTCAAGTGACAAAGGTTCTTTCTTCAACCAAGACGAGTGGCTACAAGAAATCGAAGAACATGAACGCAAACCGGATACGAGTGAAAAGCAGTCGGTTGAAATGAGTGCAATCCATTCTAAAATTCGGTTAGAAGAAGCCAAAGAAGAACAAGAAGATGTTACATRGTGGGCAAATTAAAGTTGAATGGTCGAACCATTGTTTTCCCACCGCTGTGAAATTTGTCTGTTTCTTGTTACCTGTCAAACTACTATTGTTCAAGAAAACTGATACTTTCTTTTATCGATCAACACTTTATTTGCTTGACGCCTAGGTGTCGCTAATCTCATTGCGGTCGAATTCTATTTTTCCTTGTTTCTCGATATGAAAATTTGGGCGAGTTGTGCATGCATTTTCAACTCCAAGTCAGCAGCCCCTGGAACAATTTGGCTGAAATTTGGCCAAATTGTTGTCAGATAGCTTACCTACAAAACCATGTCTGCGAATTTTAATTCTTTGTTTCATTTCAAAGTTATAGCCTATTTTTCACTGGTGGTGGCAATAATTTCTCATCACCAAATATATTTGCGCGTAAAAATGAAACGAACGCACATTCCAGAAATCTTAGACACAGTTTTTTAGGCAAACATGTGAAGAAATGAAAGCCGTATTAATCGTTTTCTTCCGTTTGTTTTTGGTGAGCGCGGAACGTAATGAATGAAAACACTTAGCTTTGCAAAAACCTCATTTTTTAAGCACATTAAAGTTTTATACCTTTTAAAGGGAATTAGCTGTAATCATGATTATTAAGCTTTCAAAAAATATACGGTTTATAGAGATTTGTGTTGAAACAAAGAGCGCTAGAATGATCCGCATGCAGACGGCCCCAGTGGGTTGGCTGATACCTTAATTACATTTGAACAGCCGATCTCTCTATCTATTATCTCAAACAAACACATGAAGTGAATAAAGCTCTTTTTATTGTGAAGATAACTGGAGGCAAGTATACTGCTACATTGTAGTGAGTCAATAATACAGATCTATTTGCTCTTCACTTATTTATTTATTTATTTATTTATTTATATATTTATTTATATATTCATTTATATATTTATTTATTTATTTTTTGTGTGTGATAATGTAAAGAATTACTTTAGAGCCCTAGGCATCAAGTTTATGTGTTCTTCATTTAGAGCAAGGGAGATTGGATGTAACAACGCAGCGACACCGGACATGTTTGGTCACTACAGACAAGCAAAATTTACCATGATTAAACATCACTGGTGGTGGAAGGTGAGGAGGCTGCACAGTTCATAAGACAGGACTCAGTACTATCTTCAAGATCCAGCAGTAACAATTATAGTAACTTTAAGATTTGCACTTAGGAAGATTCATTGCTGACCAGTATCATACTACTACATATACTTGTAACTTATTAAATTACATGTATTTGTACGATGTGCTTGTCTCTGATAGCCCAAGCTCAAATCCAACATTTTGACCACTGCACACCTACATGTAACACAGTGACATGGTGATCTTTAATGCAAATACTTTAGACATAAATTGCAAACTGGCTAGCCCCTCATAAATTCAGGATTTGTATGTAGTAGTCATCATCATCATCATCATTCTCCATGCCAGTAGTGTAGGTACTTAAGGCTACATCAGGCCTCATCTGTAGTAGATGTCTTTAAATTAAGAATTTAAACTGACCCAGTAGTTTACATTGATGCTCAAGAAACACACATAATTTTAACATGCATGTACATGTAATTATGTCTTTAGGCAAACATGGTTTTTGACATGCTGAATGCCACCAAAACTTACATGGGTCCAGTGCTGTTTCTTGAAGAAGACTACTATGTCAGCCCAGACTTCTACCATATGTTGAGGTTGTTGTATGATGGCAAAATGAGGTTAGTACATCGTAACTAAGACCCTCTAATCCATGATTCTTCAGCATTATTTGTGCCATTGTTAATAAACCACATTTCTAAGACCAAAATCAGGTGAAGTGGCACTACAGTACAACTTTAATCATGACTGTATTATCATAACTATTGAACTCACTGTTTAATTTGTATCAAGACCTGCAAATTATAGATATTTTATCAGAGACTGATCCTGTCATTTCTTGTGTTTATTCTGTTGACAGAGGTTGTAAGGATGACTGTGACCTGATCACCCTTGGTTCATACAAAACAGTGGATAATTATGAGCTCGATGGTGCCAAAGATACAGTAAGTCACTCGTATAATATTTAGGGTATGATAATGCTGGGGCACACTGTACAGGAGTTTGTAGGCCTGTTAACGCTTCAGTGACAGCCCTTGAATTTTTTCAAATCTAGAGTGTGTAGTGACAAATGAGGTCACTTTAAATTATTCATCTCTATTTTATCAGGCTCAACTTTCGGTCTGGCGATCACATGAACATAACATGGGAATGGCATTTGACAGAGCAACTTGGAACAGAATCAAGGAGTGTAGTGAGGTGTGTTGACAAGGTTTGATGATATCAAAGACAGCTGCATTCTACACAGTACTGATGATTTGTGCCCGTCAAAACACCAGGGCAATCTTACTCAACAAGTTATTGCAATGTTGCATTCAGAGATTCACCAGATTATCATGTTAGATAAGACTTGGCATCATCATTTTTTCCTGTTTTCATGTGTTGAGTCACTATAAATAATATGTAAACTACATGTATATAGTGTACTTATTTGATAATACACTACATGTACATGTATGTTTGGATATCAGGACTTTTTCCACCTGTGCCTGGCCTAGATTGTGGAATAGTATTCCTTTAGGCATTCTAAAACCAATCAATCAATCAATCAATCCATCAATCCATCATTTACAGCTGTATTTTTAATTAACACATTTTGTCGACGACCTTTTTTTTGTAAAAACTTATCTTTTTAAAAGGTTTATTTATAGTGGTCTAATTTACATGTATTATCAGGATTAATGACCTGTATCATCCTTTTTGTAAGATGTTTGAACTATACAGTCATGTATACTTATTTGTGCAAAGCACCACCGACAACTGGTGGATGGTGTGTGCTATAGATTGAAGTGTTATAAATTGCTGTGATTAGACCTAAGTTTATCTTATAGGTTTTCTGCAAGAGTTATGATGAATACAACTGGGACTGGTCACTGATGAAAATAAGTGCTTCCTGCTTGTCACACCCCTTCAAGTCACTTGTTCTCAAGGGATCCAGGGTGTATCATCTTGGAGAATGGTATACTGCTGACACATTTATAATAAGTTCTTTACTTCTGTAACAAGGCATACATGACCCTATTTATACCTAACTAGTACACAAATGTTCTACAGCTCCACAGTGTCTTTTGAGTGTTAGTATACATAGTCAATCAGTTTCTTACTGCGAAAATCTTTGCAAAGAGCAGAATTAACTACCAACAAATCTGCACTGTACCATCTTAGAGAAGTGGTGGGGAAAAAGTCGCAGAAAATGAAAATAAATGAAAGAGATGGAAAAACTCAATACCCAAGCTGGCTCCTTCCATACTAAACATTTTGTTTAATAACATACGCAGCTGACCTTACTTGCTTTTTTCACACAATCATGTACATCATTCTGTACCTTTGCTTAAACATACAGTCTACCTGTCAGTCACATAATGTTACTAGTATGTCATCCATTTATTATGCATGTAGTTCTTTTAAAATGTTGTTCTAAATTTTTTATCACTAGAAAGTACTGTAAAGTAGTCACATTATGATCAAAATAATATAATTATATAATTATATTAATTATCTACATGAAATGTATAAATAATTAGGGGTTTCATTAAGGGCCAGGCAGCAGGCAAATTGACCAGCTGTGAGCACATGCACAATTTGCCTGGCTGGTTTGATCTAACAGGGGAAAGTTTTTTCTTACAAAGAAGTTGAGTTCTAATAGTTTTGCTCTCCTGTGAAAACCAGTTGCCTGCCTGCTGAAAATGTTAATGAAACCCTGAATAATGATGTGTAATTATTCAGAGCGGTTATCAATTGAGTGTCAAAAGTAATCAGGCAATTACTTTGGTTTTGGTTTTACTATGGTTTAAGGTTGGCTGAGTAGTCTGATTGGTTTAAGTGCTTGTTTTGGTGTCGGTTTCGACACTCAGTTTAGAACCACTCTAATAGAACTGGGTTGAGTTCAATAATTTATTTAGTTCATGTTCATGGGATTGATAAATCAACACTTTAATTATTTCTTTCATTTTGTATTTGCCATTGCAGTGGTCTTCATCACAAAAAGAAAGATTGTAACATTGAAGCAACTGTGCAAAAATTCCAAACAGTTATTGACAAGAACACAAACAGCTTCTATCCACCTTCAGTGAACATCCAACCTGGAGACAGTACTTTAATCACAAAATTTGGTCCTAATGGAGGGTGGGGTGATTCCAGAGATCACGCACTTTGTTTTCAGTTGATGCAAAACAGATGACCCACGGGAAAGCAAGTAAAGAGTAAAGACTGGTCTTGATGGAGAAATTTCTTAACTTAAGATAAAAATATGACATAGTGAAAGTTGTTTGTCTGAGGAGTTATAGCTGCTGATATCATGCATAACCAATGTGGCATTATCACCCCATGGGAGGGGGTTAGTTGGGTACACCAGGAAAGAGAGTAGGAGAGTGGTATATCTGTGAAACTGGCCCACAGGAAAAAAACGATTCAGAAGCCAAAGATAGGTTGTACACGTATTTTTAGGACTTTTGCTATATGTACATGTGGTCAGTTATACTGTCCTTTGAGGCTTGCCAGAGATTGCTTCTGGTTTGGTCTGGTCTGTTTTGGTAATTTGCCATGTTTCATAAAACTATATTTTAGAAAAACCCAGCTCTCAGCACTGAGAGTGCACTGCACTCTCAGCAATCCTTTTTTTCTTTTTTTTTCTTTGGTGTAAGACTTTTTCATGTATGTGTGGCATGACTACATGACAGCCATCAAAGTATACAGTGTAAATCACAGAATAGAGCAGATTTTCTCACTACTGTTTTGTGGAACTCTGCAGATATCACTTTAGAACTTGGACAAAATGACTGAATGAGACACTTCTTTGTGTACTAGAAACACTGAGCAGGGCTTTCATGATTTTCAAAGCATTCTTTCTTTAACAATCAACACGAGAGTTGTTTCAAACTGAGGATATTGCTACTGATATCTAGATATACAATATAATATGTAGTCAGTACTGCTAAATTGGTTACTTTAGTTTTGATATTAATTTTAACTTCAGATTTAAAGAAATTTTAAGAGGCATAGAATAATATGACGAATAAGGTTTGTTGGCTTTCTTCCTGCAAACTTTTGTTAACAAAATTAGGCTTTACAGACAAAGAAGCATGGCATAGCAAAATGGTCACTTTGTTATTCACCAAATTGTCATGATGTTCCTGTATTGATTGTTCTTATCACAAAGTCCTTGTTACCTATCATTTGTACATAGACACATCCTGCGATATAACGCAGTTTGAAGAGTTTTAAAGACGAATCGTTGAACATCTTCTGTACATGAAAACTTGCTTTATCTAACTTTAAAAATGCATTCTGTTTTTTTTCATGATGGTTGATATTACATTTCACGCTTCAAAATGCAGCCTGTTGATAATTTGTTGGATAATAACACTCACGCTGCTCAATCTTGTGGAATGATGTATGATTTTAGCCGAGTCCCCTATTTCCCCATTGGTTAAATATCGGGCTGTATTCTGCACGATTTTGCCGGATAAATATTTGCTTGCTTTTTGGGCTCAGTTTTATACACAATGTAGAGAGTGGATTCATAGAAACATTAGGAGCAGAAATGTTATTGTTTCCGCAGAGATACAGAATTATATTCAGGGAACAAGTGCCGTTTTGGCAAGTCTTCAATAAAACGCTCATGAAATTTCAATTTTTATTATCCAGTCGATGAATAGCATATTTTAACACTATCATGACACTCATTACTTGCAAAAAATATTGGACGATTTTAATTTCCGACAAAGCCAATGTCCGAAAATAAAACCGTCCAAAGTTTTTAAGCGGCCAAAATTTTAAGAAAGAATTTACAGACGAGTGCAATACAAAATTTTAAAGTCGCTCCAAAGCTCTTAGTTTCCTTTATGGAGCGAACTCAAGTTGAGACACTGCTGGAGATAAGTAACAGCTTGATAGAATTGGTGTTGTTTCCTCGTCGATGTATTTGTGAAACCTTGAGGGTACGAAAGACAAAAAGTGTCCGAAAGTTAAACGTCCGAAATTTTAACGTTCCAAATGTTTTGCAAGTAATGTAATTAGTTGCTTGGCGTTCATAAGACAAAAACTGCAGGCTCAGTCTGGTTTCAGAAACCATTATCAGCCATCAAATGGAGCTTGTTCCCCCTGAGTGAATAGTTAAAGACTTCTGGCAAGTCTAATTAAGGGTGGGAGGGAGTGTAAGGGTGGTCTTAGTATGCAAATAACGGGCTTTAATAAAGGTTGGAATTAAATTAATTATTTTTTTTTACGATAACTGCATAAATTCTCACCCGCTCATTGGCTAATTTTCATTGTCAATAAACGGACAGACACATGAATTTCTAATTTACGCGATACGTCAACGAGCGAGAGCGGATAATTNTTAAAGGACCAGACTGCATTCTGCTGGATATAATAAATAACAAAAAGCAACCAGCTAAACTTCTTTTTAAACACGATAAAAACTCGTGGTGTCACAGTAAGCCTTGGTCAAGTTTACCAGTTGATATACTTATTCATCTTTCATGATTTAATTTTAACTCTTCAGCTTGTGGATTTTTTCATAACCATGAATTCAAAGGACAAAATAACTTGAAAGAATTATTCAAAATGAGCAGAAAATTACTTGTTGTTTGCAAAATATTTATAATATATTGAAATAAAACTGAATATTGTTTCAGGGTTGCTTGAGCTATTGTAGCCACCTCTTGATCAGAGTTGGCACTTCTTTTCCAACCAGAATTTTTCAACCTTTGTTTTTCTTGTGAACAACATTTTTTCCCCACCACTGTTGCAGCGCAGGCATTCTTGGGTGGGGAGAGGGAATTGCACCACCACCCTGCCCCGACCCTGCCCCCCACCCCACCTCCCAAAAAATATAAATAAAATTGTGCAAGGTCAAATCTTGAAATGATTTTCATCATTATGAGAGAGGACACCACATCCATCACTGGAAACGAAACAAAATAAAATTGTCCATCCCTGAAAAACAAGATCAGATGATTGAGATCGTTATAAGAACAACACACCACTGTTTTTTAGTCTAGTCATTGTCTTGGGTTCATTTAAGTTCATAGTGATTTTCCTTCAGTTGATTATTTTCATTTTCTCCTACATGAATCTTAGTTGAGAACCCTTCTTACTGTAAACCACTTACACCACCAAATAGCAAAATAAATAAATTGTTCATCCCTGAGATCTAAGGCCAAATAATTGTAATCATTATGAGCTCAAGAAAAGTTTACATAATTTACATTTTTATTACTTAATGCACCAAAACAGCAGACTACATTGTAGTCCTTTTCTTTGACACCAAGAAAAAGCAAAGTTTTAAATCAACCAAAATAACACCCAAAAAAATGAGTTATTTACAGTTTACTTAAATAAACTGGATTAAACTGGATTTCTTGAGAAAATTGGTAGCTGGTCACAGTTAACCACAATTCCTTGAGGAATGTCAGATTTCAATCAAACATTTTGATACCAAAAGACTGCTGTACTATATCAGTATACAATTTTCTGCATTTTTTCTAATAATTTACTTGAAAGTGAAGGAAACAAATATTATCTAAGTTGGGATGAATAATGTTTAAAATGTTTGCAAATTAGATTGCTGGCAGGGGTAAGAGAGAATAAGTATGCAACAGAACCATAGTATGAGGCAAACCAAGGCGCTTGCCTTAGTCATTGTTTTTGTTTCTGTTGTTTCTTTTTTGAAGGGGAAAGTAGACCACTGCTAAATAACTAAGAAGAGAATTTAACCATGGACCATGCCTCAGCCATATTTTTTTTTTTCTGTCCATGGCCCTGTGCAACAAGGACTCTTGAAAATGCCAAATTGAAGCCTCCACTCAACAATGGACCCGTCTGTTAACAGACACTCCAATTCATTGATATCCTTCAGGGTTATCCTTATGAGGTGCTGAACAGTAAAATTTATAGTTATGTTAAGTAACGATTTTCTGTCTAAAGTGTCTGTAGTAGCAACAAAAAATTCAAGCCAGCATACATTACTTGCAAAAAAAGTATGGACGATTTTTATTTTTGGATAGAAAAAGTGTTTGAAATAAAACCGCCCAGATCTTTGATTGGCAAACATATGAAACAACATGGAGTTGACAAACCAATCATCACGGACAATTTTTCGGTCCTCAATAAAGTGCCAGAATAAACTAGACTGTATTATTTACAAAATGTTTAATATACAAGATCTCAAACCATCATTGAATGTGCAGTCCGACTCAATTTGCATATGAATGAATGCCAGCTGATGACATTCATAATTCAACTCTTTTAACAACTTTGACATTCAATGATTTTTATTCTTGATAATGATGTTAGATACATCGAAATGTCGAATTACATTACTCCTTAGATTTCTCAAAATTTTTAAGCATTAGAAATATTTACAGTACAGTATAAAACTTTTAAGTAGCTCCAAAGCTCTTAGTTTCCTTTATGACGCGAACTCTAGGTGAGACACTGCTTGATATAGATAATGGCTTTATACCATTTGTGTTATTTTCTTGTCAGTGTCTGTTCAACCTTGAGGCTGCAGTAAAACTACCATTTTCACAGATATTGTTTCAGTCTAATTCGTGTTTTGTAGGTGTAAACTTACTTAAGCTATGTTTCAGCAAAGTGTCCTAAATTTTCTGTCCCAAATTTGTCCAAAATTTAAACATCCGAAATGTTAACATCCACATTTTTTTGCAAGTCATGTAGTTTAATTGGTTAGCTTTTCAAAAGACCCGGAAAATAAAACCAGCTGCACTGTCAAATAGACTGAATGCTGCACAGGCACAAAGCAACTACATGCATGTGTATGGTATGTTTTGGGGGCCTCTGGATAGCCAGCAGAGATGCTCAAGACCCAAATTGTCAGTTTTTACAAAATATTTAATATGCATAACAAAAATGCCATGCTGTATTCATAATCAGTTTGTTGCCATCAATGTTTATAGGTTGGCAGCATTGCATCGCAGCTACATCCCACATATATGTGTAAACATGAGCTTATCATATTCGATGGCTGTCGAGTTTCAACAAAGTCTCTCACTTCTTAACATTAGATTTCTTGCTGCCTGTTGGCTTGGCAAAGAATGTGGGATCCAGTTGATCTAAGGGGACCCCTTTGGTGGCAAACAACCTCTGAGCCCTCTGCTGTAATGTTCCTCCACACTTTAGCCCTCTTGTGTTTAGCTCAACCTTTAAACGATCCAATCCCAGAGATTCAAGTTCCTCAGCAGAAGTGTAGTTGTCAAGGTGAAACTCAACCTAAAATGAAAATTATCAAAGGTGAGGTATGGCTCATTTTATGAAACGCATGTTTTCAGCACAGCAGCCCATCGGGAGGGTGAGCATTTAGCTTCAGTTTCAGTTCAACTGAGCAGCTAGGAGTATTTCTATTCCCCCTTCAGCCTAATTTTACATTTGTCTAATACCAGTGCTGCACAGCTCAACACAGCATTACACTTAGAACAGTTGTAGGAGGGCAGTGATCTTTTTAAAAACCATCAAACTGCCATAAAATCTCGTACAAAAATTCTGATCAAATTTGCATTCAGTATAATCCCTGCCATATTCTATGATTCACAAGATCATGTGCATGTTCAAGTGCATTGTGCCAAATTAATTAAATTATGATCACATTCTAACCTTTTCCAGGCTCTGTTCCTCAGTTACTTGGCTGTCAGCAAGGCTTGTGTTTCCAGTGTCTTCTACTCCTTGCTTAGTTGTTTTTAACGATGTACCATTTTCTTGAGTGTCTTCTGCAGCCCTATCTCTTTGGTGATCACTGTTGTCCACATCTGTTTCCAAGGCCTGCATACTTGTCACTGCCTGCATTTCCGTGTCTGTTTCTAATGTCTGCGTAGCTGTCTTTTCCTGCACCTCTGTTTCTGCATCTGATGTCGGCATGGCTGTTTTGATTGTCTCTGTCTCCATGTCCATATGTCTGTCCTCAGGAGACTGAGGTGACCTGGGTGGCTCAACTCGAGTGCTGGAAAATGATGCATCGGTTGACGTACTGGTACAACTGCTTGGTGCAGCCTTGCTGTCACTTTCTGAAGGAGAAAATTCATCGTCCTCTTCATCACTGTCTGGCAGCTCATCCATTCCTAACCTGAACTCAAAAGGTAAGTTTATTTTATTACGAGAAGGTTCTTTAGTTCTTTGAGGGGTTTTTAGATCACATTGTGTTTATAAACTGAGGATCTACTATCAATTTCAGACAACCAGCTCGCTTTAAGCACTCAATTTTTGAAGTTTCAAATAACTGCTCATCTAATAGTATTGTTACTGACTCGACAATAAAGCTGAAGTTATAATAAACAAAAATTTTCATTCACAATCATGACTTGTTGCAATGTCACCGACTACCAGAAGACATAATGTTCTTCAAAAAAAAGTTCTTCCAGGTGGAAAACAAATTTAAACCTGTACTAGGTACTAACATTGCTCTGAGTCATGGCAACAGGTAAACATCCTTTTCATTTGGTTCAACTTTGGTGGCCATGTGGCCAACAAAAATAGCACTACATGATGACAATCATTTTTGAAATCAGAGAATGAAACTAACAGTGCAGGAACTCTAATTCTTGATAATGGTCCACTGGGATTGATCATAGGGCAGTTTATCCACATTATTCAGGCTACAGACTGATAGTGGTTAGGTGCCCATTCATTTGTTGCATAATTCTGAACTCCTCTGACCTCTTAAAAATACCAGCAACTTACCACAATCGACTTTTTTTCCCTCCTCTTGAAGTTGAGGGTTCATCAGTATGAACTCTCTTGTTTGCTGTTTTCTCTACTGAAGTTGAGCTTGAAGTTAATGTTGAACTCCCAGCTGCTTTCAGTCCTGTACCAATAACAAATGAGAAAAATTTGAACAGTGAAGGAGCAAAGCCACGCTTAGTAGGTTAGGTTAGTATTTTACCTTGGTGCAGTGCATCCTCTATTCGTTCAGAGTTTTGCTGAATGTGTTGTGTGTAAGATTGATCATCAAATGTGTGCTTGGGCATTGCTCTTCTCCTTGCCAACCTTTCCTGTTTCTGTTTTTCTTTTTCACGCTCCCTCTCGGCTTGGTTGGAAACCCACTCAGCAATCCTAAACAAATGGAAGAAAATTTTTTTCTCAAAATATTAATACAAATCCACTTTAGAGCAGTTCTGGCTCGAGTGTTGAAAAGTAATTAGTTTTGCATTACCAGGCTATGTGATTGGTTCAAGACTTTCTTACCCCTTTTTCAGCCAACCAAAACCAATCTTGTGACTTTTTAAATGAATCAAAACAAAAACAAACTCCTGAGAGTGCACGGTATGGACTGGAAATCAACTTCTATAGCCCAATGATGGCTGTATTAAGAGCATGTATTTGTAATTTGAGCAAGGGTAGATTTAGGGGTGGGTGGTGGATTAAGTGTCAAGCCACCCCCCTTTTGGAGGAGCAAAATGAAAAGACTGTAAATTTATAGTATAGCACAAATGACAGCAACTGCTCTGGACAGGTACACTGTACCTCGTTGTAATTTCTACTTTGTAGCATTACTAGTATTTCTGATGTGACAGCTTTCAAGTAGGTTCCAATTACCAAATTGCAGCATTTTGGGGACATGCTCCAATGATTCTGCAACCTCAAGGTACCAGACAGCCCCCTTGAAAAATCCTGGATCCAGCCCTGTCTAGCTATGACAGATCCTTACTTTTTCTCATCATTGATGTCCCTCATTCGCCTTCCACTCAAGTCTCTGCAGGCTTCTCTGTTTGTTGTTTTCTCTATCTGGGCACCAAGCGCTCGCAGCATGGAACCAAATCCTCCCTTTCCACCTTGGAGAAGCAGAGTTGCGTAGCACACATCTCCAGCTTGAAGGTGTAGCTTACTGTCTTCAGTGACCAGGCGGCCATTATGGATGACAGACAGTTCTTCCACAGGGACACCCTACCATTAAATAAAATAACAAGAGCCTTAAAAAATGAACTCACTTTGAATTTGACCCAAGAGAGACATCTTACAAAGGGTTTACTGCAATGCATAATAAATGAGTACTACTTGTAAATCCTTAATTGTATTCATATGACTACCTATACTAATATTGGTCAATACAGGGCCCATTCATCACTGGTTACAAGATATCACCAAATGTAAGTAAAGAATACAGTTTTAAGCCTTATGCACATGTCAGAAGTAGAGATGGAGATACAGAAAGTATTGAAAATGCTCTAATTCTTAGAGAGTCAGGTTTTTATTTTCTTTCTTTCAGCAGGGTAAATATCCAACACAATTTTTGCAAAGAAGCATAAGGAGCATCATCTCTCATTACACATTCAATTCGACATCTTTGAGAAGGCCGTCAGAGATTCAGAGATACTAGGGGTGCTTTCCATGCCATCAGAAATTCCCAGTTTCAATTTCTGGAAATTTCGAAACTGTATCACAGCTGCCCTCTCCAAACGAAAAAAAAGGGAGAGAGCATCTGTGTGTTGCCGTTGATAATCGTGTTCCTTGCATAAATTATCCACACATAAAATACATTTCAATATCACAGCAGCTGACGTGACACGCAGAGACAACAAAGGAACTTGCTCTCTGCACATGATCTTTGCACAAGACATTAAACCGCAAACAATCCATCAACTAATCAGGTCATCAGGGGTTTCAGCCAGTTTTGAAGTAGGAGGTTTCTTACAGTTGAGTAAGCAGGCACCCCTATAACCTGGAGGCCCAAGCCTCTAAGGGGATCTGGGGGCATGGTCCCCTGGAAAATTTTCAAAATTAGACTCTCGGAAATGCATTTTCCAGCATTCTGAGGTGGAAATTTATAATTGTACGTCCTCATTTTGAAAACAAAAATTGTGAATAATTTACAGAGCTTTTACCCATACTAGCACAAAAGTGACTTCTTGAAAAAGAATATTGCAACTGTTCACAGCCTTAGAGAATTTACTAAATTGACAAGCACAAAGTGACTTCATGAAAAACAATAATGTAACCGGCTTGTTTGTTAAAGTAATGTTCATAGGACAACATCCGCAGGCTCTTACACAGTGTTTGTTGTTTCCTAGGTAATTTAATTGACCATCTTGTTATATAACTGTTAGTAATGTCCAATAACCATACAATTCAGCAGGTTTGAAAGTTCTCAGAGTTCTCGCAATAGCCAATTTTCATTGTTTGTATTCAAAGGTCGTGGCAGTTCAATGACTCTTTTGACCTGCAAAACACCCACTCTATTTATATCCGCCAGTGCAAGTTCATTATGTTGAAAAGATAACTTGTAATGTATTAATAACTCACCTTTTGACTTTTTGGGAACTATGACAAAGAAATTATCAAGGCTGCCTTGGGCGTGAGATTTTTTATTCTTGTTTATATTCATCGTCATTTTAAACCGTGTGCTTTCGGTCATGTGAAATGTCACGTGCAAATGTTATGTAACAGCATGAGAGAGGGTCCTGATAACTACTTTGATAACGTACACAATGCGTTTCGCAAAGATAAGCGATGCGATCAAACTTCGAAATTTATTACTTTGCTTGAGAAATCCTTCAGTAATCCAGACACAAAAATATCAGTTTTCATGGAAAAAGAACTGTAATTCGGAGAAAAAATTCCTGGTTAGACTCGGCTAGCAAAGCAGAAGAGCGGTGAAAAGAAGTTTCAGTTAGTCTTGCTTTTGATTTTGTATTTCAGTCTACTTGAGACCTCATTTGAGCGAAGGCGGGTACTGTACTCAGAGTAGACGGGTACTGGTACCCGGGTCCCGGCTTCTAATAAAACCCCTGGGTAATATTTCACACAGTCCTGGAAAAGTTGCGTACTTTGAACACCATAATTATTAACAACAGGATCACACATAATAATTATTATGCGTCTTGTCGATTTTTCTTTCAGGAAGGGTAGCTGTGACACAGGCTAAGAAATTTCCAGTGGGGAATAGAACAGCATTAACTGTAATTTCTGGAATAGAGGACAACCTCTCAAGTGGGGGTGGGAGGGAGGCAGGGGGATGGGAGGCAGGAGAAGAAAGGGTGGAAAGCCAGAGTTCTAAGAGGGAGGGAAGAAGGAGGGAAATGCAAAATGCTAATTTTTGTTGTTCATTAAGCGTTCAAAATACTTTCAAGAAACAAGAACTCAAAATGTTATTTGACTTAATACATTTGGCATCTTTTGAGACTTCAGGGGTGGTGATTTATCAAAATTTGCTCTTGGGCTAGCAAACTGAGGCTTAAGGTGAGATTAAAGTCACATGTATGCTGTGCCTGATCTTTAGATCAAAATTTTTCATTCATTACTTCTGGTGAAATTGGAGCCCTTTGACAGTGGTTACATCATAGGTCATGAAAGGTTGTCACTTAAACTGTCAAAAGACCCAAGTAAGAGGAGCNAAAATACTTTCAAGAAACAAGAACTCAAAATGTTATTTGACTTAATACATTTGGCGTCTTTTGAGACTTCCGGGGTGGTGATTTATCAAAATTTGCTCTTGGGCTAGCAAACTGAGGCTTAAGGTGAGATTAAAGTCACATGTATGCTGTGCCTGATCTTTAGATCAAAATTTTTCATTCATTACTTCTGGTGAAATTGGAGCCCTTTGACAGTGGTTACATCATAGGTCATGAAAGGTTGTCACTTAAACTGTCAAAAGACCCAAGTAAGAGGAGCAAGACTGAAAATGAAGGAAAAAAGGAAAAGAAACACCTAAGGATTGCGCAGCTAAATGACTAGGATGTGTTTTAAGTCTCCTAATTTACAGGGGACAGGAGCAGGATGGGCAGGGCGGTAGTCAGGAGATAAAGGTACGGAAAGCAGGAGAGCAGGGTAGGGGAAGCAGAAGGTTCAGACTCCCCTGTGCTCCTCGTCCTCCCCTCCCTTCCCCCTCCTGGCAAGGCCATATACGCGACTGTTCCAAAATATTTACCAGGAAATTTCCTGTTCCATTTGATTTTTCCTCACGGCACTTTCCCAGGAAATTTCCATACGATTTGCTCCCTTCTCGATGGTTTGGAATTTCTGGGTAAGTAGAAAGCGCCCAAGAATACCTACTCAAAGAGGCTCGATCCGGTTTGGTGGAATGATGCAATCTATGATAAATGTTTCTAAGTTTAAATTCTTTTGAACAAAAACTCCTGCTAAGGCCACAAGACCTAATTTACAGAAACTGTTAATTTCTATCGGCAGGCAAGTGAAACACTTGGTTATCTATCAACTTGCGCCTGGTCGATATCGAAGACCGCCAAACGGGCATGATCACATCCCATCTAAGTTTACATTGAAAATGATGTATCTCTGACCCTAAACTATCTTTAAAACCTACCCCACAGCAATCCGATGCGATCTTCTTCAATTGTCTTCCACTTTCAACCAAACAGTCGTCCAAATTTAAGCAATAAAGCCCTCGATGAAAAGAATACAAGAAGGCAGACATGTTGAAAATTTTAAGTAACGCATGGCCTTGTGGGTAGTTACATTCTAACCGCGTGCGATCTGAGAACCATTGGTCTCATCTCCGCTGAGAGCGGGAGATGACGTCTGGCATTTTAGTCTAGTCTTTTCACTTTACATTTAAATTTATTTGTAAGTTAAATGGTTACTTCTGAGTATGTACGTCAAAGCATTGAAACAAAGACTACGAGTAAAAGTCCCTCTTTCGCTTAGCCCGTCGAGCGAGACGCGAAAGAAAACCGCGAGAAAAATCCTGGGCCGGCGCCGGGGCCGGCGCCACGTCGGGAGTGAGAAGCGCGCGAAAGGATCTTAGGTGGCCATTTTTTCTCGTGGTTTTCTTTCGCGTCTCACTCGACGGACTAAGCAAAAGAGGAACTACACGTAGTCTAATTGAAACATTGATTACGACACGCGTTTGTCAAGTTTTTCACCGCCGTGTGCCTTTTATTTTCAAACTTAGGTCTTTCGGTAGTTTCTGATAGGGCTCTCAACAAGTTGTTCGGCAACTTTTTGGCAACTTTTTGCATTTCGAGCAACTTTTTTCGTTTCGAGCAACTTTTTAACTTTCTGAGCAATTTCTAGTTTTCTATCAACTCGGAGCAGCTTTTAGTGCTTAAAGCGGCCTTGCTTCCATATTTCACAATCTTTTAGTAGACAATTTATTAACCTGTGAAAAAGGGCAGATCCCCCTCCCCGCTGGTGCAGATCATGGGTGCAAGAAGCATACTTCCGGGCTGCTAGGTCAGCGTGTTTTTTTTTTGACTCGAGTGTCTCATGATCAGGTGAAGAATTTTTACAAAATTAATATTAATATATATTGATGCGTAATCTTTACTCATACATTTTTTGGTTTTTATTGAGGACAAAATTACTTAGCAACGCTGATTAGTGGTTACGCCGCAAAATTGCACGAAGTGCTTAGAAATCTTACTTTTGTTGCCTTTTGCATCAGACGAAATAAAGGGAGAGAGCAACAATTTTTTTAGCTTTGGAGCAACTTTTGACTTTTTTTGAGCAACTTTTGAGCAACTGTTTGAGAAACTGCGAGCAACTTTTTGGGAAATCTCGAGCAACTTGTGGAAAGCCGCAGTTTCTGAAACTTGTCTTCTAGTTTTAGGTTTTGAGATTTGAAGAGGCACTTAATCCCTGACCCTAATATATAGCCTAACCGTCAAGCTTGCTAAGCGATATTATTCCTCCAATTTCAATATCTTAGGGCCTGTTTACAAGGAGGGAGGGTTACCCTAGCAAGCGGGTTAACCCTAGCTGGAGGCCAAAAGATAGCCCGGGTTTACAAGCAAAATTTCACAGGTAGGCTAACCCTACAACTCGGGATAACTTAATGCGTGGTTACACTTAAAGGCTCTGGAAACAATTAGGAAGTTAACCCGGGTAGGCAGATTAACCCTACCTGGAGTGTTTACAAGAAAAAAAGTTAACCCGCCTGCCAGGGTAACCCTACCACGCAGATAGGGTAACCTGCCTAGCCGGGTGTAACCCTGGCTGTCTTGTAAACAAGACAAAGTAAAAATGAGGAAATATGTGAGTGCTAGGGTAACCCGCTTGCTAGGGTAACCCTCTCTTCTTGTAAACAGGCCCTTAATCTCCCCAAGTCATATTAAGCCATATCAGCACTCCTCAGTTTGTCGAGTGCTAATCCCTGCCAGTGTAGTGGTAAAAGAGGACAGTAGATTTACTCTTTTTTACTGTTGTTGTTTTTAATTTTTCTATTTTTTTTCTTTCTTCAGACTTTATATTCTCGTCCCCAGAGCCGCCTGTCCCTGTTAGCCGGCGGGGCCTTGGCACGAGGAAAGGGTGGTGCTGGAGATACTCTCTAATTCAACTGCTGGTTTCATTCTTGAAAATATCCACCGATTGATCTCTAACTAAATAATTAAATCCGTTCACCTTTCGAGCCAGATTATATTTCGAGAGAGCAACAGACTGCAGTCAGATTTTTTTTTGGAAGCGAACACAGAGAGCGTGAAACCGAAAAGCTGGCAATCGCTCTGTGTTCCCTGGCTAATAATTTGGTGGTACCTGGTGGTATGCTAATCAAAGCGTTTCTGTTGTCAGCTTACCGACAGATTACGTATTTGAAACGTGGTTACTGCGCGACCAAGATCACACAAAAGGAATTGTTTGCCCCTTTTGTTGGCATTTGATAACCCAGAAATACTTTACTAGGATTTCCACAATACACCAATTCTTGGATTCAAAGTTCAAAACATTTCTGTAGAGAACAGTACGGTCTTTTAAGTTTTAAGAGTGCTTGTGCAGCTGCGAGTGTGCTTATACTCCTGAAAATACTTTGCCGTTGATAAGTAGCTTGAAAGGGCTTGTGTTGATTTTGTGTGCGGCAGAGAGACTTTCGCCTACCAAACCAAAGAAACGCCCCTCTCTGAAGTAATTAGGACTTAACTTGTTCATATGGCTCATGTTCTTTTGGAGACGCGATCCACACTGTTTTTAACCAAATATGATAAAGTAATATCATAGGATGAGCAAAAGCACGCTCAAAAACAGGTTTTTCAGTTAAAGATTGAAAATTTAGCAAAACACTGCGAAGATTGGAGCGGATTTCTCTACGTACTCGACGCGTAACTTTGATTTCAGGTTGAGGTGAACTCTTTTCAAGGTAAGGAAACTAGTGTCCAGGTCAGCGCGGTCCCAAAGCTGACTGTGTCCCTTTAAAGAGAAAGAAGAATTGCTACCCGGCCGGCCATAACCAAGATTTGAATGTCAAATCGCTTTAAAGACCTTTACAAAAAAACTACAGGCTTAAAAATTTTGAAAAGTTCGGCTGATCGGCAAGGTACTCAGTGAAATATTCTACATGCGAAGGGTGACAATCCCCTAGGGGTTCAGTTTTTGTATTTGTACTAATCTACCAGTTTTATATTATTCGAATGGCAAAGGTTTTAATGGAAATGGCTTACTGTAATTTACCGCGCTAACTCCGTTGTTCTTCTTCGCAAAAAGCACTAATTCCGAAAATGATTTATTTGACATTACTTCGTGTTCTGTGAGAAAGCGTCCGTCTACGGCAGTCCTTAAGGGTGGCAGGCTGGAGTGAACAAGACTTGAACTCAGTGCACGTTTGAGGTTACCGTAAAAATTCCGTTATTCGGTAAGTTCGAGTGAACCCTTTCAGTAACTAAGATATTGTTTAGTCTGGGGGTAGCAAAAATCTTGCCCTGATCTACCGAAGTTGAAGTTTGTACAAGCTGAGTTTATTTCTTTTTTGTCAAGCCAGCGTTTTCACTTTGTGTCGATATCTCCACTTTTGTGTTCCCCAGGAAATGCAAGAAACACTGTACGCTTTAAGTAATGAATCTAGTCGAGTACATACAAGTTACGTGTTTCGCGTCCTAGGCGCTTTCGAGAACGAAATACAGTGGAATCCCAGTGGAATTTTTGATTTTTTGAACTTCCCGATAACTCGAACCAAATGTCGTTTTTCTCCCCTCAGTCGAACTCTGTAATTTCTCGAACTATTCGATTTTTTAAACCAATTTTCTTTTCGCTAAGAGGTTTGTTTTGCACTTTGCATTAGTTTTGAGCTTTCCAGTCTGGCCAGTCTTACGACTGCTTAGATGAAAAAATAAACTTAATTTAACTTAATTAAGCTGTTTTAGATTTTTTTTTTCCCATTTTTTTCTTTTATCAGGTGGTCTGCATAGTATAGGGACTTTGTCTCTTTTGCTGACCATCCTTATGGCCATTTTATTCTTTTATTGCTTGTATTTTACATGTTATCTTCGCCGTTAAATTGTAATAAATAAAATAAATAAACCAGTCACTGTGTTGTGACAACTTCTGAAGTCACCCGAAGTAGTCACGAGCAGCAGTCAAAACTGAGCTGTCCTACCGAAACGACACCATAATAGCCTTTTTTCTTGGCAGCTTACAAAAATAAAGACCATGCTAGCGTTGCTTTGGTCTCTTCTAATGGTTAACTTGATAATTCAAGGTTTAATTTGACGAGGAACGGCATATTTTGTTCAAAGTAAGACAAATATTATCCCATAGAGGGGAATGGTTATGAAGCCCGGCAAACATCAGAGGAACAAACAAAGATGCCAAGATGTCCACGACCGTATACAATCTTTTGTTTTGCGTTCATACACTATGCTAGAATTACGTAATTAAACATTTCTATTGGTTAGTTCCTCGGTCAGGAGTAGACAACTATTTTGTGCACGGTCAAGGCCAAAAAAGAGAACAAAAACATACAACAAAGAACTTTTTCGAGTTTCATATTAAACCATTCCCCTCTATTAACTATGACTATCCTACCTGACGACACTCGACGAACTGCGAGCCGGATCGATACCGGCGAGTGCGGCGACCCATTTTTGGCGCCAAATTAAAAGCTTGGAGATACAAAATGTTTCATATTTTTCACTTTTTAGAATCTGATATGGTTTTGAGAATATTTAATGCCATCTCCAGTAAGAAACGTTGCCTGATTTCAATGCCTTTCCTGTTAACGTACATTGTCAGGACTCGTCAGGACAGTAAAGTTTTTCCGCCTGCTTAATCCTGATTGGTCAAATTTCAGGCGCGCCAGCCGTATGCAAGGCTAAATTATGCCCGACAATGGCTTAGTCCGAATCAAATCAAGAATACATAAAAAAGGCGGGATTATGAAAAAATGCCGATCTGTTGGTGTTAAAACAGCTGTGTTTGGTTTCTGTGAAAAAGAGAATTTGAAGACTGACTTTTTATTACAACTGAAAGGGAGTTGAAAATCCACCGCTAACATCTTATTGTCACATCACAGTGACTGGTTTGTTTCCCCGTCCCCAGAAAATATAATTTGTGATAATAAGTATTGACATTAATTAATATTTTGCCGACCAGGAACAGAGAACTGGGTGCGAGCGTAGAGCGCGAAGGCTGACCAACGCGCCCATACCTCATAACCTTTGCGTGTGTTCGGTTATGCAGGGAAGGCAACTTTTTTTAATTTTTCAACGTAATCAAACGTGTCATTTTTC